CGGATTCTTTGGCACACAATCGTAGAGGAAGGACTATGATGTATAAATATCTGATTGATGTTCATCATGATCAGGAAAAAGGTTGAGACCCACCCAGACTTACACGATCTACGATACTTTGTAGGCCTCCCCCAATGTATAGGTATAATAGGTGAGCACAACAAACACATAGTATTCAGTGGCTTTAGTTCATGTTAGGCTCACCACTGAGGCCCCTTGATCAATTTGGTATCGGCTCAAAATATGATGCTTGGGACTTGGACGGAGTACTATATGTTGAGTTTTATTCTGCTCTGCACCAGTATGCAAGTAGATGGTATACAGAATGCTGTGATTGAGAAACTTCAAGAAACCGTTGTATTTTCAACAGGAGCATGGTTTACAACAGACACCTCAGACTCATCTCTATATTAGGGGAGTTCACGGTAGCCAATTTTGATTCATTTTTTATCTCATTTTTTACTTCATTTTCTAGAAAAATGAGATGAAAAACGGAGCTAGAAAACGACTCAAAAACAGGATGCGTGTCCGTTTTTGACATGTTTCTATTTTTCATTCATTTTTCATCAATTTTTTGTCTTCGGCGCTGAAGTCGCTGAAGGGCGTTTCGGCGTTGTCTGTTCTCTTGTTGTTGCCCCATATGGCAATCACCTCATTCTATTTACCATACACACTACAGAACGAGCAAAGAAATTAAGATAAAATACCTGAGATAGACTGAAGACCAACCAATTGACACTCAAAGAAGAATTGCAGCTGACAGATAGTATTGGAGAAGCACTAAGATAAGGCGGGGTCTGCAACAAGATGCGGAGTTCAAGGCTGCCAGGGTGCCAGAAAATGTGCAGTTCCATTTTTCACTCGTTTTTGATCTCATTTTTCAAAATTTCAAGGGGGTCAGGTTCACAGTAGACATTTTTCGGTTCATTTTTCAGTTCATTTTTGACATTCTATGTCTACAAAAACGAACGAAGAATGGATCAAAAATGGCTACTGTGAGCACCCCTATTTTACGTCACGTCTTCTACTTCTGCTCCGACATTATGACGACTCAAAATATACCCAGCATCTAGGGACAACAAGGCATATGAGCATTGTACACCGGCAATAACAATTGAAGTTCGACGCATTGCGACGGATAAGAAAACAACATAATTGAAGGTCAAGAACACTGAGCACGCCGCAGGTATAAGACATCAATGCCGGAATAACAAGACATATGAAGAAAAGAAGAAGCTCACGACAGCGTCCGCATGCAAGCGCAAACCAGACCGATCAGTCTCGCATAGGTGCCCAAGGCTGGAGAACAAGGACATTGGCGGGATTCATCTCCCACGAAGGTATTGCAAGAAAGCAATCTTCATGTCTGCATTGCATGATACGGAGGGTGGTGCCTTGCGGGATAATATAGGTCTCCCAATTCAAATCAGGTTTGAACTTGCCCTTGTTAATGTCCAGATTGAAGAAGGGGGTCGCTAGGAACCCTACCGACGCCTCGATGGACCGAACGGGAGCAGGCATGCCCAGTCCGGAGGGCATAGACCAGATCTCGATGTCCTCGGGTGTGCAAATGTATTGGCCTTGACCATTCACAAAATCAAAAGCATAGCAATCATTATGATCACCAGGCCAAACCCGGATCGAGAGGTTGGGCCCTAGTCGCGTGGCAGTCACCTCTTCTCCGGGCTTGGGTTTACGCTAGAGGAATTTCTTATGAGAAAATATTATTGATTTCTAGATCACTGAAGTGACTCACACCGATGGCACCGAATTCCACTCCATCTGGAGGCGCATTCAACCGATTGAGCCTCTCTTTGGCTTCAGCCTCACCCATCTCATTTGACCACACGGCACGCTCCAGACTACCATGCAGTGCGACAAGCATTTCCACAACCTCATCCCACGTCATATCATAGCCCTTCATTAGCTGGCGCACGTACGACACTACCTGGCCGTCGTCTACTTTTGGAACTGGGGGAAGATCAGTAGACGGCCGCGGCTCGTAAATTGCGGTAGTAATAGTGCGAGGGATTTTTTTTGCGCTTTCCAGGATGGGATGAATCTCTCTTGGAAGCCGGGACATATGCGGGATTGGGGATTTGGACATAGCGAACCTCTGGCATTTCGGGTAGTGCGGCAAGCCTTGGTGCGATGGTCCTTTCTTCCAGAGTCGCCTGCTCCTGAAAAGGAGCCAGTTTCACTAGAGAACATAGAGGGTGCAGCAAGGTTGTAGCTCATGTTGTGAATTGGTAGCAGATGAAATCTTTGAGACCTAATGAGACCCCTCGTCGCCGGTCGGGCAGGGCTAAAAACAGACATGATGCGTGACGCACATGGATGATCATTTACACCAAGCAACAATAATATTGACAAAGCTCTAAGGCGACTCTCAATCGGAACGTTTCCGCACCCACAACCGAGGCCCCTGCATCCACCACGACTTCAGCAAAGGACGGATTGAGCCATGATATCGTCGCCCCTGCGCGGGACACGGCATGTAATGAAGCTCCCAAGGATCAAAGCATTGCAAGATGATTAGTACCTGATTTCTCGCCCTCGGCCCCAAGCTTAATGCTGAAGTTCAAATTTGAGCTCGATGATTGCCAAGATCCGTGAAGAATAAAGGAGAAATTGAGACCGGGAAACTGGCTGTGAAACGATTGATGGTGATGGAAAGGGAAATGGACAATTACAAGGGGAAAGGCAGTGGAAAAAGAGGGAGGAGACGCCCACTGCCAAATCGACAGCTCTTTGAGCGGAGGTAGAGGAGAAACCCCGCTGAGATGTTTCGAGGGGTTTCCCAATTTTTGTCATGCATTGAGTGGCTTTCCACATATACACAGAGAGATATCAAGTACCCACATCACATCTAGACCGTATAGATAAATTCCTCTCCATTCATCAGGAATATATATAATTTTTAACTGCAGCAGAAACCCATGTTCACCACCAACAAACGACGCTGAGCGTGCATCTCCGAAAATTGACCTTCAAGCAAAGACACAAGCTCCGGAATGTGGGATTCGTAATGCGACCAAATCGATATCGTTAATCGACAGGACATCGGCGCCAACGCCTGAGCTAGCTGGGTCCACGCTCCTAGCCCGTCAAGTGAGCAGCGCGGATGATGCATGAAAACGACGAGCTGGAGAATCAAATGAAATTCGAGACTGGTGGGGTATGATCCTGCGTTTGGTATCATTTTCAAAAGGAAGGGAAGTGGGTCTGGTTCGATAAAGCCGTCGCTGTTAAACCAAATGGTGAACCGTCTACTGACAGTTCGTAACATGGGATAACGTTGTGATTCAAAGTTGGGAAAGTCGGCTAGTTATCCAGAGCAAGTCAGAAGAAAGTACGACTTTCATTGGTATAAGCAACTAACCTTCCAAGTTGCAGTGGATCCATAGATATTTGAGTGTCCCCGCAACCTGGCTCAACAGTCTCCGGATTTTTATGAGGTGAACCTCGCTTAGGATGTTGAATCTGACTGAGATACGTAGGGACTGAAGCTCGCTCAGGTCGAAGGGTGGATTGTCACACACAAGGTGGTCGATTGTGGAGAGTGAATTTTTGGTAACTTGAAGTGTGATATTGAATGACTGAAGGGTTGGCGCCTTGACGGGGGCAGTTTCAGAAGCCTGTGCGTCGTTCCATGATACAGATGAGAGGGAAAGCTGGCGAATAGATGAGTCGAGAAAAGGCGCCGTTGGCATATCTGTGATGTATGTGAGGCAGACCCTTGTAAGGGGTTGTTCTCGAATTACTTTCATAATCAAGATTTGCAATTCGTCGAGCAACCTTTTCCAAGATATCTGTGCCCTTGGAGATCCGAGTATACGCAAGTCACGTAGACACGTCAAGTTTTGAAGTGCAGCCGCCCAAGCCATCAAAGACACAAATGGCTCAGGCGAGTAATATGGCGCGCATACGATCTTGATGTCGAGGCGGACCACATACGATGCGAGGCGCGGCGACTCCGTGAAAGGCATCTCGTAGAGTCGGGGGATGGGGTCGAAGCACGGCTCTGCCCGGTGTGCTGCCATGTCCCAGGTGATCTGGAAGAAGAGGGCTTTTTGACATACAGGCTGTAGGCGACGACATGCGAGGGCACAAGCGCTAAGCGCTTGGTGATCATCCCAAAGATGTCCAAAAATGTCGGTTAGTAGCTCTGTTGGGAGGTGAAGCAAGGACATTCCTGGACTTTGAGAGAGGAAAGAGGGTGAAACTGGCAAACTTGAAAACTGCAATTTGAAAAATCAGAGTATCAACGCCAAGACAATTCATCATTCAGCACTCGGGAACCGCCATCAAAATGCCATCCCGGACCCGTCTTCCGCAATAGTGACATTTCGACTCATCCCACCTCGTTGGATGTCACTTTCGCTCTTTTTAAAGGTGCATCGCCAGCTTCCTATCTCCAGAACCATTTTCCGTTGCATCTCCACCTCACAAATGTCATCCAGCAACCCAGCACCGCGTCCAAACACCACGACCAACACCAAACCCTCCTCTAAAAAACCATCGAACAAAAACGCCTCCAACAACCAATCGAAAATGGGGAAGAAGAAGTCAAACACACCCGGGGAAGAACACCTCCTCCTGCCCACGCCTCCGTCTTCTTTAGGCATCGTCGACACGCACACACATCTCGCGAGTACCTATTCTTTCTACCGTCAAAGGTACAAGGAGGGGAAATACGACAATGTGTTTGATTTCATCAAGGCGATGTACGAAGGCCGGAACGTGGAGGCTATCGTGGACGTGTGGTGTGATGCGCCTGTACAAAAGTCGTGGAAGACGTTTGCAGATTCGGCGTTGACGCCTGAAGATCGACAGTCTTGTTGGGGAGGGATAGAATATTGGTTTGCCTTGGGTGAGTTCGCTGCGTTTTACGCTTGTTCTGATGCTGATGCTGTATGTTCAAGGGGTTCATCTGTCAGTTGTATCTTCCTATCTAGTCTCCCGTAGTCAGCCCTATAAATATCACGTTTGTCTCTTTTAAGGGGAAGGGAAGTCGACAGTGATATATGGTCTGATTTCACGCGCGCCCATCAAACCGCGGTACCCACATTCAAATTCAAGGTTGTCGACTATTGCCTTATAAGGCAATATATCACAGCCACCGCGTGACTTGAGTCTTACTAATATCACCACCTCTCACCAAGAAACGATCTCGAGAAGAGCAAGACGAAAACTTGCCATCCGCGTCATCAGCTCCACCGAAAAAGGGTCTACATACGGCTTTGCAGTCCACTCCAGGTGAAGCGCCAACAACACTACGGCAACACCAAGGCAACGCATGCCCTGCCAAACGAAACACGACAAATTAAACAGTCTATTCGATGCATTGGATGCTGTCGGAGAGTTCCCATCGACACACACACCCTATACCGAGATCAAACCTGTTTGGGCCGCCTTGACCTCGTTTTCCGCGCAGCTTATCGAGAAGAAGTTGGTTAGGTTGGCCAAGTAAGCGGTGAAGCTTGAAGGTGGGGGGGGGAATGGACTGCATGCCTCTTCCAAACAGAAGATAGGGTCAGATACGGTCCAATGGGCAGATGTAGGCTCTACTATGGTGTCACAGGCAGCCGATGTTATACAGAAGCACCAGCCGTTGTTTTTGACACTGAACTTCGCACATAACAACGAGGCTCGATTAAGTATTGCCTCTCGCGCGTGGTCACTTCGCGTCCTCTGCGCCAGTCGACCTCTTTGCTTACGGCAGCCGGATTGGAGAAATGCCAGCTTATAGCACCATTATCAATACTCTTCAAGGACTTTCAGATCAGGATGCAGCAACCACTTCGCAGGCTCGCACGGTCGTGACCCTACAAAGTTTGAGGTCTTACAGTTTAACAACATGTAAAACTATCTAAAACTATGGTAGAATGGATTTTGTAAAGGACAGATGAAGAAATAAGGCTGCAGACGCGTAATAAACTGCTAATTAGTTGACGCGAGCGTGCTATTTGGCATTGAGTGGTTGGCACGTGTGGCAACTGATACCGAATATCTGTACCACGGTTCAGACCCCACACGTGAACCTAGACTACTTCCTATCAGGCCTGACGTAGAAGCTAACTTTCGAAACCAGCCATGACGCCAAACACTACAACGACGCCGTAGAAAAGGACATGTATGTACCCTGCCCATCTTAGTCGTTCCCTCCATTCCTCACCTCCTCCCCTCTCAGATTAGAAGCGATGACTCACCCGCGATGCGTTGCCCTTGGCGAAATAGGGCTCGACTATCACTACGACAACTCACCCCGCCTTGTGCAACGAAACGTATTCAGACGGCAGCTGAAACACGCTGTTAGGCTGGGGAAGCCGCTGGTTATACATACCCGGGAAGCTGAGGAAGATACGGAGAAAATACTAAAGGAGGAGGTGCCAAAAGACTACAAAGTTCGTTACCATTCCTTACCCCATCTCTTGTTCCTTGCTTACAAAACACGCAGATCCACGTCCACTGCTTCTCCGACTCCCCGGAATTTGCGGCCCGTCTCCTCGCCCACTTCCCCAATCTCTACATCGGTATAACAGGTAATGTAGCCTTTCCTTGTTCACCTCTCCCTCCTCCTCCTAACCCCTCTCTCTGTTCACAGGTGTAATAACATACAGCTCAAACACCAACACCTCCGCCGTCATCTCTCAAATGTCCTCCGCCTCCCCCTCTGAGCCCCTCCGAATTCTCCTAGAAACAGATGCACCGTTCATGACGCCCGGCAACCTCTATGCCTCCCTCCCTGCTTCCTTGAAAGGGAAGAAATTGCCGTTATCCCATACCGCAATGATACCGTGGACGGCGGAGTTTGTGGCGGGTGTTGCGGGAGAGGGATGGGATGTTGATAAGGTTATGAGGGAGGGGAGGGATAATGCGCGGAATATGTATGGGGTTTAGACGCGTATATGCATATGCCTGAGTCAGAGATTCGGCGTGGGATGGAGGATTGTTATACGTCTTTTACCCCATTGCATCAGATAGGGGGAAGAACAAATTCAAAGGGTTACTTGGATTATCAGCTTTCAGGATGAACATGAAGGTATTGCGAAACAGAGGCCCTAATGTATTGACACAAGAATACGATCGGTAATTGGGATTGTTCTGATGGATGATGGTAAATGGCATAATGGCATACTATCAACACGACGGGGCACGGTAAGGACAACTTCCAAATGGTAGAAACATGGAGGGTGGTGTAGAGAACTAGGGCAGGGGAGTGGAAACGCAAGCGTAACTTTACATTATCCCAACTTCGCTAAAAGGGCGAAGGCATCGAACAAGCCACCGGATAGACGTTTGAACTTTGAGCTCGATAGTGGCTGATGAAACAAGTGGCGTATTGCCAATACCGACGTCAGTGGTGGGTTCAAAACCACGATGTATGCGGCGTTGGCTTTCAGTGAAGAATGGAGTTATGCCACTCGCACTCCGTCAACTCCCGAACCTTGGCAAGTTGGAGGCGACTTGCGCAGAACTGCTGCAAGTGCGTCAATAATACCCCACGAGAGGATCACTTCGCCTACTCACCATGGCATTCCGCTCGTTACATAGCGCTCCCGCCTGACGCCCGTGTCTGAAGCCGATGGATGCGACATCTTTTGTGAGACTAACGTGACCTAGCATGCCAGGGATTTCCGGAGTGGTTGCAACACCGAATCGACCAATGTCCCCTGACTCCTCAGCCCATTCATGCGTCCACCAACTTTGCAAATACCCCATTATACCCAGCTCCACGAATCTCCTTGAGACACACTTCCCCTCCTTGATCGCATACCTCCCGATATCGCGCACAGGCTCTCCCTCATCGACGTCGAGTCGGAGCACCGCGTCTAATGTCTCTACCTTCACCCAGAATCACAACTCTATCCCACAGCTGGCACCTGCAATAGCACTATGTTCATCCAACCTACGCGTGTTCGTCCCTTCTGCTCTTAATCGCCCCTTCTTTGCTCAGTCTTTGAAGCAGTGTTAGCGATCGAGTGCCGAGTCAACATATGCGAATTCAACGTGGTCCTCCCCATTTCTCAGAGCTTGAGAAATCGGTGTCTGAACCCCAACCAACAACGATGGAGAGGCCTCTTCGGAAAGACGGCGACTTGAGGGCGTCTTTGAGAGGCTTGAGGGGAACCTCGAACTTTGGGGAAGCCGACAAAAGGGAAAATGGGGGAAGACGACTGGGGCTCCAGATGCATTCGACCCCTGCAACTCAACTGTCTTCGTCTCTCCCTGTCGGAGAAGGTTGTTTCGAGCCTGGTCCACAATATCCGCTCGTGGACGAAGAGAACTTCACCACCTTTCCACCTTGAATTTCCTCCGAGACTCCAAACACCGAAATGAAGCCGTGCATCTGTGGGGTTTGAGTGGCCTTCCCAACAATCGACATCAGTCGCGAGGAAGGTGAGAAGGGCTTGGCTTCCGCGCCTGAGGGAGGGGATGGTAAGCTGTGAGGTGTAGACGAGTTGCTTGTGCAGAGAAGGGTGGAATTTGAGGGAGAGGCGAAGGTCCACTTTCATTAACCGTTGGTTTAGGAGAAGGAGTGGGCGAATGTAGGTGTGCCAGAGAATACGCTGAGAATCAATAGAGCCTGTTGCGTAAACGATCATTAGGTACCGCCATCATAGAAAAGAATATAAACTCACTCGACGTTCTCTGTCAAGCAAACCAAGGGGCCCCAAGCTGAGCGCTGACCTCCTACCATGCGATTCAACACAAGCACTGAAACGCAATGCACTGAGCCACCGCGCACCTCTATCCTTGGAAAAGAGTTTGCAGCGATAACAACCGATGTTGAGACAAGGGCGAACTCGGTGCCTTCCAATCCGACCATTCATTTCGAGCGATGATGGCATTGGAAAGGCCGTCAAGCCGACATGTAGATCACGTGCAGTTTTCTGCCAGTATTGGGTGCTGATGTTACCCAGCTAGATCTGCCAGAAAGGCTACCCAACAGATTGTCAGCCGAGGATGCTATGTCTAGTAGTGAGTACTTCGCACCTTCATTTCCAGGAAGTTCTTGAGGGGTCTTCCCTGCTTGACGAACTTGATGGGGAAAATGCGGAGTCCAACTGCAAAGCACCGCGCATCACGATAAGTAGGCACCTTGAACGCCAGCGGATTTCTTTCTCTTGTCGTGTATGGACAGCGGTGAAAACTCCAATGTCGTCCTCCACGAAGAGTTCTGCGTCGTCGGTCCCCTCGACCCCAGCAGCAGCCACTACCACGACTGCGATGAGATCGACATCGCCGAGATCTACGGTGACGGGAACAAACAAGCCGAGTTCACCTTCTACACCGGCTCTGGCTCGTACATCCCGGGCCAGCAACCGAAGCACCAGGGCGGCGGGGTGTACACCGACACCACCAATGGCGCGGCTGGCCAAGAGTTTTACGAGTACCAGGTGTATTTGGAACGGGGAAGAATCTCACGTTCACTATTGCGGATGTGAAGACTGGGCAGACGATTGTGGAAGCGGGATTATGGGCCTCCAGGTATCCCATCGAACCCGTTGAACTTTTTCATGGGGGAGTACAATTGTGCAGCGAGCGGGCACGATGCTAAAAATTACTGCGGGGGGCCTTACAATGGTAATTCATTCATGGAGATCGGAAGCATCTTATATCGTACCTGCGACTGATAGTAGTCATTAAAAAGTTGTATACATAGTTCGAGGAATGAACCAACATCAGGATCGAGACCAACATGCCACACCCTCACAAACTTCACCCCGTTTTCCTGCACGCCTGAATACGTCGCCGAGAAGTCGATTGTTGTGCAATTTCTATCGACCAAAATTTGTGTGGAGGCCCCAGGTCGCGTGTTGCCGGGCTCAAAACCACGATGTATGCGGCGGTATTGGCTTTGGATGAAGAATGGAGCTCCACATACACTGTCCCGAACCTTGGCAAGTTGGAGGTTCAGGTTGCAGCGCTAGCACCTGATTACATCGAGCTCTACGAACCTCCACACACTTCCCCTCCTCTTGACATATATTGCGCAAAGGCTCTCTGGTCGTCGAGTCGGAGCACCGCGGCTAACGTCTCCACCTCCACCCAAAATCGCAACTCCATCCCATAGCAGACACCTGCCATAGCACTAAGCTCATCCACCGTACGCCCATCTGTCCCTTCTCCTCTTAATCGCCCTTCCTTTGCGCAATCTTTGGAGCAGTGTTAACGATCGAGCACCAAGTCAATGTGTGCGAATTCAACGTGGTCCTCCCCATCTCTCAGAGCTATACACTCCGGAATCAACGTCGCAAGTTCCCTAATCATCTCCTTGATATTATCCCTCCGTCGTCTCTCAACAGCATTATGGCTATCCCTCTCCGTCGTTTCTCGTTGGCCAGTAGAGCTTGTTTATCGCCTACAGGTTGTTGTCCTTGTTTTTGTGGTGCTTGTTGACCCCTTGTCCTCCGTGTGCAGCAGAAGGAGGAGAAACATGGTGGGAGCTCGACTTAATTTTGAGAGGGTAAAGGATCATAGGGAGGGAGCGCCATCAAATTGACAGCTTGCGTGTCTAACCGTTTCGGCAACGAGTGCGAATGCGCGTGGTGGGAATGCGAAAGGGGGTGGGGTGTGTGGTGCAGTGGCGGGAGGTGGTGGTGCATGTCTTGAGATGAGGAAAGTACAAAGGGGGTGTATTGTTGATGGTGGTCGGGTGTGGGGAGTGAGTATTCCGAGGCTCTGTTTTCGTTGTTCATCAGCTTCACGAAAACACGAAACACGCGAGAAAAGGAGACATACGAGCTCTGACTCTGCCCAGGCACATACCACCCATTCCCTCCCCCTCCCCCTCCTCCTCCGTTGGAAGAAGTGCTCAAGGGACTACCCGCGCCATCCCACTAGTCTAGCCATCCTGCTCCCCGGGATCACAATCACATGCGGCCTCCCATGTCCATGGTGAACACCAAAAGGAGGCGGGGAAATGCCAGGTATGCTATCATTCCTCCTGGCTCTAGTCGTCCTCGCAGGCCCCATACCGCCTGACCCATTTGCGGCGGATAACGGTGGGAAAGGAGCAGAGCTGGAGGAGGGAGGACGTAATCTGGGGCGGGAGCGGGATGCTGGTGAGCGTGTGTGTCGTGTTAGGTGGGCGTGGGCGGGGTGGAACGATGATGGTGGTAGGTTCGTGGTGGACGAGGGAGGGAGGGGAGCGGAGGAAGGAGAAGGAGGGTCGTAGCGCATCCCACTGTTTATCGCTGGGAGGGTAGAGTCGAATGGGTGTTGTTGATAAGCGTCGTGTACGCTACTTAGCTGACTCCCTTTGTTGGTGGTGGTGGAGGAAGAGAAAAAGTTTGTTGGAAATGCTGAAGAGGCGGTAGACGATGCGCTGAAAACAGATAGGTCGAATATGTTATGCGTGCGGTACGCCGACGTAGGGTTTTCATACACCGTTGCGTTTTCATACTGCTGCTGGTGCTGCTGGTGGTGAGTGTGATGCCAGGTGGTCATTAGGCGTCGATCGATCACCGGGTCCACCCAAGCGCTTAACCGTGAGCAACTCGTCGTTAAACTCCACATTCGCAGCAGCGACCACATTCACGGACGAAGGGAGCTTGCAAAGTACCAACATGCTAGAAAGTCGAGCCAGTCCACAGAATCAGGTGAGCGGAATCTTGAGCCAAGGCACGTGCTTGTGTATCCATAATACATATATACAAATAGACCAACTCGTGGCATGATTGGGGGTCTTTTGGCGTCTGGGCGCTCCTCTTTCTTCCTTTCCCTCTCTCATCCGAAACCTTTCCATCGTCGATATCTCAACATGAGCGGAGTGAACGTTCTTGCGGGCACTCACCACTTTGTTGCTAACAACAGCACATTCAATAATGCTAACACTGTGAGTAGAATGATTATTGTGTTAATGCACCAGTGAGTGAAGCTGAGAGTACGGATCTCTGGCAGATGCACATCCACAACATCAACAACGGCAATAGGACCACGTCGGACGGGGTCATCCCCCTCACGCCAAACCCAAGCAATCGGTTCACAGGACGGACAGAAGTCATTGCCAAACTCAAGAGGCATTTTTTTACCAACGCAAATGACGGAGCTAAGAAGAGAAAGTTCTTCCTGTTGTATGGAATGGGGGGTATTGGAAAGACTCAGATTTGTTTAAAGTTTGTTGAGGACATGTCTGAGCAGTGAGTAACTACAGGTTGCCACTTCGGTGTTTTTTGATTCAAATGTGATTCTTTCAGCTTTTCTCTTGTTTTTTGGATTGATGCATCCTCAGTTAGCACCATCACACAGGCACTGAAGGGTATCTGTAACCTTCCTGAGGCTCAGTCTTCTGCTCTGGATGGGTCACCTGAATCTGCTCTTTGCTGGATTGGCTTGCTGAAAGAGAACTATGCAATGGTGTTTGACAATGCTGATGTTTTATCACCTGCTGAGCTGGAAGCTTATCTTCCACCTGGAAGGGGTGGAAATATTCTAATAACTAGTTGCAACTCTGCCATGAGAACTCTAACTTCACCTGAGAACTCTCTTGAAGTAACTGAGATGGAAGAGAAGGATGCTCTTGAATTATTTCTGAAAGCTAGTTGCTTGAATTCATCTTCAATTGAGTTTCAATCTGAAGCTTCTAAGATTGTGAAAAAGCTCTTCTGTGTTCCTCTTGCAACTGATCAGGCTGGTGCTTACATTGCTTCTGGAGCAACCACTATCAGAGACTATCTTGCAAAATATTCAGAGCACCGGAAGACACTATTATTTCATTCAGATTTTACTGGAGCTTCTAAGTATAACAAAACTGTCTATGAAACTTGGGAGCTATCATATAAAGAAATTCAGAGAAGGGCTAAATCTCATGATTCTCATAAGGCCAAAGCAGCCAATGGTGCAATGCTCCTTCTGGAATTATTCCCCTTCTTCCATCATGAGGGGATTACTGAAGACATCTTTTTTTATGCTGCTCTCCAGGAAAATGAGAAAATTTCTGGCTCAAAGTTACCTCTTGCCAGTTCTCTGTTGGACCGGAGACTACTTTCTCTCAATAAATCAGGCACTTGGGATAACTTTATCTTTAAAGAGGGACTTCAAATATTACTGTCATTCTCCTTGATCAAAAAAGGCCCATCTGATGGTGTGTATGCAATGCATCCACTGGTCCATTCCTGGGGCAGAGACAGAATGCTTCCAAATGAGAAGAAACAATGTTGCTTGATGGCTTATGTTACTTTGTCTTGTTCACTAAGATGGGGTGAAGACCAGCCATATGGATTTCAGAGGGCCTTGGTAACACATATAAGAGCAAATATGGAGCATTTCAGATTAGAAAGTAACAACAACAGTGTCAGATACTTAGATGATGCTTATGCCAACTGTGGGAGATTGTTGATGGAACAAGGAAATACACAGAGAAGCAGAGAAGCTACAGATTGAAGTTCTGGATGCAAGGAACAGAATTCTTGGAGTGGAACACCCAGATACAATCACTGCCATGGCAAATCTAGCAGCCACATATCGAAACCTGGGAAAATATCACAGAGGCAGAGAAGCTGGATATCCAAGTTCTGGATGCAGCCACCAGAATTCTTGGAGTGGAACACCCAAATACAATCAATGCCATGGCAAATCTAGCAGCCACATATCAAAAGCTGGGAAAATACACAGAGGCAGAGAAGCTAAAGATCCAAGTTCTGGATGCAAGCAACAGAGTTCTTGGAGTGGAACACCCAAATACAATCAATGCCATGGCAAATCTAGCAGCCACATATCAAAAGCTGGGAAAATACACAGAGGCAGAGAAGCTGCAGATCCAAGTTCTGGATGCAAGGAACAGAATTCTTGGAGTGGAACACCCAGATACAATCACTGCCATGGCAAATCTTGCAGCCACATATCAAAAGCTGGGAAAATATGCAGAGGCAGAGAAGCTGGAGATCCAAGTTCTGGATGCAAGGAACAGAATTCTTGGAGTGGAACACCCAAATACAATCAGTGGCATGGCAAGTCTAGCATCCACATATCAATACCTGGGAAAATACACAGAGGCAGAGAAGCTGCAGATCCAAGTTCTGGATGCAAGGACCAGAATCCTTGGAGTGGAACACCCAGATACAATCAGTGCCATGGCACATCTTGCAGCCACATATCGAGCCTGGGAAAATACACAGAGGCAGAGAAGCTGCAGATCCAAGTTCTGGATGCAAGGACCAGAATTCTTGGAGTGGAACACCCAAATACAATCAGTGCCATGGCAAATCTAGCAGCCACATATCGACACCTGGGAAAATACACAGAGGCAGAGAAGCTGCAGATCCAAGTTCTGGATGCAAGGAACAGAATTCTTGGAGTGGAACACCCAGATACAATCAGTGCCATGGCACATCTTGCAGCAACATATCGCAACCTGGGAAAATACACAGAGGCAGAGAAGCTGCAGATCCAAGTTCTGGATGCAAGGAACAGAATCCTTGGAGTGGAACACCCAGATACAATCAGTGACATGGCAAATCTAGCATCCACATATCGACACCTGGGAAAATACACAGAGGCAGAGAAGCTGCAGATCCAAGTTCTGGATGCAAGGAACAGAATCCTTGGAGTGGAACACCCAGATACAATCACTGCCATGGCACATCTTGCAGCAACATATCAAACCTGGGAAAATACACAGAGGCAGAGAAGCTGCAGATCCATATTCTAGATGCAAGGACCAGAATTCTTGGAGTGGAACACCCAGATACAATCAATGGCATGGACAATGTAGCCTTAACATGTTATAGACAGGAAAGATATACAGAGGCAGAGAACCTGCAGATTCAAGTTCTGGATGCAACCACCAGAATTCTTGGAGTGGAACACCAAGATACAATCAATGCCATGGCACATCTTGCAGCCACATATCGACATCTAGGAAAATACACAGAAGCAAAGAAACTGGATATCCAAGCTCAGAAAATAAAGAATAAAGTTCCTGGAGCAGAATCTCCCCTTATGAATTCTAGGGAAAAAGGTATGAAATGAGCTTCATTTTTTCATTTTCACTGACACTCATATTTATATGATTAGTGCATTCTCTGACCAATCTTGCCAAGAGGATTTAAAAATTCAAGTCTGGGATGATGCATTCATTTCATAGTAAGAAACATCTCAATGATGGCTTTGCAGGAACTAGTACTTAATTCTTCTTCCCCAATGCTTCCATACTTTTCACCTATATTCATTTTCACTGAAATTCTGGCTTCTACTCATATCTTGATATTCTGTTTAGTATGTTGAATAAATTTCTCTTTATATGACTGTTTTAATTGATGATTGACTGTGTATGAGTCTATCAGAAGCATCTCATGATTCACCATCCCATACTCCATGTCTGTGCTTGCCTTCAAGCCCCTCTTCAACTCTTCTGTTGAGCTGTCCATTATCCTCCAATGCATCCACTAAGCTACCAATGTGCATCAAGGCCTCTTCAAGTTACCTTAGTTTTGTTGAATTGCAGATACAAACCTACATAACTTCTGTTTGCAACAGCAGTGCCAATAGCAGATACAGTTATGTTGAAGTGTGCAATCAAAGTACCTTCATGAGATGTAGGAAATCTGAATTTTAAATTTTGGCAAGAACTTCAGCCACCTCAGGCATGTTAAAAAAACTTGATCCATATTTTTTTTCTTAAAAACACCTTACTTTTCCTTTACTTGCCATCAATGCAATTATGTCAGAAACATCCTCCAATTTAGTGTGTTAAAGCCTGTGTGTTGTGGAATTCACTATCATCATGCTTGTGCCAATCTTGAGTTCAAGGCCAATAACTGTCATGAATCATTCCACACCCATGCCCTCAAGACATCCCCAAGACGGACCCCTCACCATGATACCTTGTTTCTCCATCTCTACTTTCTATTATCTCATTATCTTGTTATTCCTTGTTCCCATACCAGGGACCTATTAACTGACAAGTCTTTAGCTTCAGTCTTCTCAGTTGAAAATTTGACTTCCTACCATGCTCAGCTTCTTCCATAACAGTGTCTTTGTCATGTGTGATGCTCCCACTGCTGCTCTTGCTGGAAGACTTGCTGACAGAAGAACTAAATGCAGAATGAATGGTGTATGAGGCAGAATTGGCATGATCTATCTTTTCATGAGTAATTAACAATATTGAGAAAAATGACTGCATACCCTCAGGTCCTCCAATAAGATGGCAGTTTGGCATTTTGAGGTTTGAAATATTCTGAGAGAGTGCATCCCAATTCCAACCTGAGTAAATGTCCAAATAGGCTGATTGGGTGTGCACCATGTGAATCCACTGCACAGCTTGTCATCCCATGTTCTGAAAATCAGTGAACCACACTTGAATGTTCTCTCCCAGCATGTGCCCATAAAGTGGGTTCATACAATCAGGGTCTAACACCAATAAAACTGCCAGGTGCTGCATGGCAATGCAATTGAATTGAAATTGAGGAATGTAAGTGCATAGTGTGATGGGCAAAGAAGGGTTGATAGAGATGGAATGTGCTGCTGTGCATGTTATGACTTGCACTACACAGTGTAGTGCCCACCATATTGAGGTGCCAGTGGCAGGGTCAAGCATGTAAAAAAGCTGGCTCTTAGGAAGTGCAAGAGTGATGAAATTATTGGCAATGAGTGACCAAAATCCTTATGAACTGATATGGTTGCTTATTAAAGTCTTCTGTCAGGGAGCAAGCTAACATTCCATATGCCATCAGACAGAATTTCTGTCTATCTTCTGAGGACATTCTGTCTCTTCCCCATGCATGAATAAGTGGATGCATGGTATAAACACTTTGGATGAAACCAGTTTGACCAGGCTAAAAGACAGTAATACTCCAACTCCCTCTTTGAAGATGAGATTATCCCCATTTTCCTGTGTTGTGAAGCAGAAGCAGTGTGGAGTCTATTATAGAGCTTGCAAGAGGCAAGGCAGACCTCTTCCGATTATCTCCACACTCCTGAGTAGCAGCATAGGAAAATATTTCCTCAGTAATACCATCAAAATGAAAGAAGGCAAAGATTGCCAGCAGAAACATTGCACTCTTAGCTGCCTCAGCTCTTTGAGAATCATCGCTTTTAGCTCTATGCTGAATCTCTTTGAATGATAGCTCCAAAGTCCCATACACAGTTCTGTTATATGTAGATGCCCCTCTGAAAGCTGGGTAAGATAATAATCTTTCTCTGTATTGAGAGTATTCATCAAGATAGTTTCTGATGTCTGTGCCCCCAAAAGCAATGAAAGCACCAGCCTGATCAATAGCTAGGGGAATGCAAAAGAGCTCATTCACAATCTTGGAAGCCTCAGCTTGTAGATCTTCCTGAGACTCATTCAACCAAGCAGCATTTAAGAGTAAAGAGATGGCATCACTTTCTTCCATCTCTTTCACCTCAAGAGAACTCTCATGTAAAGTCAAATGTTTTAAGCCAGAGTTGTGACTAGTTATCAGAATATTCCCTCCTAGCCCAGGTGGAAAATATTGCTCCAGTTCCTCAGGTGTTAGATTATCAGCATTATCAAAGACCATTGCATAGTTTTCTCTCAGAGAGCTAATCCACTGTAAAGCAGATTGAGGTGAACCATCCAGAGCAGAAGACTGAGCTTTAGGAAGGTTGCAGATTCCCTTCAGTCCCTGTGTGATTGTACCAATTGAAGATGCATCAATCCAGAAAACATGGGAAAAGCTGGGAACCCATGAAATGGGGACTAAGTAGTATGGTGGAGTACTTACTAGTCAGACATATCCTCAATGAACCTCAAACAAATCTGAGTCTTCCCAATACCCCCCATGCCATACAACAAAAAGAATTTTCGACGGCGGAGTTTATTGTTGCTTTCAGCAGTAAAATGTTTCTTCAGTTTTGCGAGAACGTTGGTCCGTCCTGTGAAACGAATACTTGAGTTTGGTTTTACAGGAATTGTTGCATATATTGTTCTGTTGCCAGCGCTAGGGACTGTCATGGATGTACCTGGGTATTAACCGTACCCAATCCACGGATTTTCCCACCCACGGATCAGATAAGGCACAGTACAGATATATCTGTGGGTAAACAGCCTGGGTGACCAAGCAGCTATATAAATGAGTGTATCTCGTTCATTTCCTGTCCGTTATTTATGAAAAAAATTGTGTTAAAAAGCGAAAATTCAGGAGAATTCATATTAAAACAAAAGTCATTCATATATTATCTAAATTGAGTATATTGAAACTAAAGTTATTTATATATCATCATCTGAGGTCTTTCTCCTTGTATAATGCTGCTGTAACTGAGCCATGATCACAGAGAGTGTTGGGGGTGTGTATTAGCATGCCTTGGCCATCTTGAGAGTATTTATTTTCAGTTTCAGAGAAATGCTTTTGAGAACAATTGATATTTAGGTTGGGTAGCAACAGAAACAATGAAGGAAATGGGAGGTTATATGATGTACAGGCACAATGCATCACATTCCCGACTGCAACTTTCATGAATGGGTTCTGATTTCTGCTCAGTCCCAGGTAAGCAGCATTATTCACATTTATTTTCCTTTACTTTCAATGATTGATGCAGCTACTTCTGTGGATGCAGAGTGGGCATTCTTGTTATGGTTGTTAAGCGTAACGGGCAGTTATGTTAAGCTTTCGAGTTCGATCAATCGTTTGTCTACCACAGTTCTTGTCGTTGAGACAAAGTGGATCACTACAATGTTCGCTTGGCCCTTAAAGCGACACGGTAGGTTCTAGTAGCCTTGCGCCTGAAGGTCAGTCCAAGGTTCTATGATATGGTCTTGTGGGCGGTCGTCGTCTTCGTCTGCTGGGCATTCATTTTCGTTCGTGTGCAGTCGTCTTGTGGGCGTTTGTGGGCGCTGCGGCTCATTTGGGTGGGTGTACATCATTCGTAGGTGGGCAGGCTCGTCGTGTCATGGGCGTTTGGGGTCCTTCGGGGTCGTTTGTGGGCGGTGGGGGTTGTGCAGGGTGGTGTGCATCGTTCATGGGTGGGCGGGCTCGTTGGTTGTCATGTCGTGGGCGTTCGCTGTCGTGTCTGGGTGCTCGTTGCTTTTCGTGGGCGCTCGTGGGCAATCGGGGTCGTGTGGGGCGATGTGCGTCGTTTGTGGGTTGTGGGTGGGCAGGCTTGTCGGTTGTCGTGTCCGTTCGTCGTTTGGTTGCCACGTCGCTGACCACGACGTGGCACCTGGTTTGTTGTTGTCAAAAGGTGGACTGGGAGGGGTTACCCAGTCCACTTACCTGGGCTGGAGTCGAGGCAGAACGTCCATTGACATTCTGCGTTGTTGTCGTTGTCGCCTCCCATCCGCGTGACGGGGCGTTGCCAAACAGGATAACATCAACACCATCAAACACTTCAAAGCACGCATGGTTGCAAAAGGCTACTCTCAGATCCCCAGGATGGACTTTGATGAGACTTTTGCACCTGTGGTAAAGCTCACTTCAGTCTGTGTTTTGTGCGCCCTTGCAGTCACCCTCAACCTCCACTTCCATTACCTTGATGTTGACACAGCATTCCTCAATGTTATTCTCAAAGAAGAGATCTACATTAGTGCTTGGAACTCCAGTCCCAAGACTGCAAAAAGACTGAGACTGGACCGGACCCAGACCACCTAGGACCAGAAATTTTCAGGACTGTCAAAGACTGGATGTTAGAAATTTCAAGACTGACAAAAGACCAGTTTAACTGGTCTCAACCAGTCTTTGCAGTCTGAAAAGTTACTAAAGTATGTACTGTAGTCTTGCTGTAGTCTACAAATATTTATGTAACATTTCGACCTAAGTATTCATGAAATCACCAGAAATCGTTGGGAGCAGAGTTTGAATATGTCCATCACATTGTCGTCATGGTTGATCATGTGGTTGTTCTCAGCTCCTACCTCTCACCACCTCCCTCTCGACTCAACGGACATGCCAAAATTGCATCAAAAAGGTATGTAGTCAGTTTTAAATGTTTTCTTACACTAATTATCACATTTTAGGGCCCCCAGCCACTTGCATTCCTTGCCAGCAGCCACCAAGTCTCTCCTCTCCAACAAGGGATGTAGGTTGCTTTTTTGCATCACTGAAGGGTTCTAGCGGGAGTTTGGGGGTTTGGAATGGCATAGAAAGATACAAGAGGAGATAGAGGGAGTTGGAGACCCACTAGGTGCATGAAGAGGCAAACCATAAGCGGCTTGTCTTTTGATTCCCTCACTTCCCTTTACTGCCACCTCCTGACGAGAATGTTGCACTAGGACGAACATGACGTCTATGCACCCCACCCACACTGACCAATGCCTGCCATTTTGAACATGAGCCCATGTCTCAAACACAAAGCCATTGTTTCAAACACAAGCCTGTCACTTCAAACATGAGCCCGTCGCTTCAAACATGAGCCCATCGCTTCAAACATGAGCCTGTTGTTCCAAATGTGAGCCTGTTGTTCCAAACGTGAGCCCATTGTTCCAACTGTGAGCCTGTTGTTCCAAACGTGAGCCCATTGTTCCAACTGTGAGCCTGTTGTTTTAACCGTGAGCCTGTCATTTTACACACGAGCCTGTTGTTTCATGAGTCCATCATTTTAGACGTGAGCTCATTGTTCAACTGCAACCCATTGATTAGTGTTTGAAAGTCCGGTTTGGTCCGGTTTTTTGATGCCCAGGGGCGTTAACCGTAACCGTAACTGGTCTGCCTTTTCCCCAGAAGTCAAAAGACCAGACCAGACCGCAAAAAGACTGCAGACCGCGGTTTTTTGCGGTCTATAGACCGGTTTCGGTCTGCATCAGTTTTAACCGGTTTATGACCGGTCTTTAGGCCAATATTTTAAAATTATGAATCGGTAAATTTATTAATATCTCTAATAGCTTCAAAACGAGCCCAAGAACGTTAAATTCCGTTAGGAATTGGTGCTTGTAGAAGCAAACACAACTCAGACGTCAGTCACCGTAAAGTGAGGAACGACTGATATTGAATAGACTACCTGTAGAAGCAAACACAACTACAAGAAGTCAATAATCTAGACAATGATAACGTATTGTAGAAAGTACTCACCTCAGACGTCAGTCACCGTAAAGTGAGGAACGACTGAGGTGAGACAGAAATAAGGTTTCGTATATAAAGGGAAAGATTTGTGGCTTGAGGTAAAGACTAGTAAATAACGGAGGTAAATGTGAATGAGAGATAAAAGGAAATGAAGGACTGGAAAGAAACAATAAAAACATACGCGTCAACAATTGAAGGTCACGAGACGTCTCCTCTAACACTCCCCCAGACGACGAGAGACTTCAGCTTGAGTGCGTTGACGACGTGTTGAACCAATCCCTCTTTCGGTGATCCATGGACTCCGCATTGAACGTGGAGCAGTGGGGTGTGATGAAAACCGAGCTGGGTGATGGAAGTCTAGGCCTTCGAGCTTGCCTTTGAATGCACCATCAACGACGGAAGTGGGGTAGAGGGGTTTGCGATGACTCATAGGGAACGTGACTGGGTCAGCGGAAAAGAGGAAGGTCAAGGTTGTAGGGTGGAGGATTATGTGATGTTGTATACGAGTGGCCGTGTTGGGATAAAGTGAGTAAGAAATCATAGTGCTGAGAGAGGAAACGAAAACGTCGCGAGATGAGAGGTCCTCGGGTAACAGAAACAACGGGATGCAGGGATTTCGAGCACTAAATGGGATGCTCTTTATACCCGCAAAAGGCCCATACCGGTTACTTGTCGTGTGGAGGAGGTGGGAGCCAGCAGCGTATACGGCTGAGGCGTACAAAGCGCAAACTGCAACAGACTATTCGGCAGGAATACCCCCACGTTTCGGTGCCTCTGGGCCCCTCTTGTCCCAGGCATTCAACGTGTACGGCGCCTGTGCAAGCAGTGTCTTCGTGTGCGCCTGCCGGTATGAATACATGCCCCGTACCACACTCGTCGCCATTCCGGGTATAATCTTGACCGTCGATCCCACGGGGTACATGTTCCCGTTATCACATACGGCAGAGACGGTGAGGTGTGTTGGCGTGGCTGGGACAAAGGTTATGTTCCATGCAAAGGTTGGAGTGATTTTGTAGGATGAGGTGGCCGTTTAAGGATGTTGGGCTGTTATTATGCTGCCTGCTCCTGGGGTTTGGCGGATTACGAGTTGGGATGTTCAGCAAATCGGGAGGTGGAATGTGTAGGAGAGTCCCAGATCCAAAGAATTCCTTAGCTCCCCCGAATCCCGTGTTCCGGATGTGCGATAGTATGCGCTGTGAAGAGTGTAGGGAGGGGGCATCTCTGATGGTAGTGACCGTAGTGTGGATGGGTGTAGGAGCAGCCCAGCCTCATAGGGAGTAGGTGGAGGCGAGTTTGGAGATAGTGGCGTGAACTTTCTGATGATATTTCTCCAACAATGGCGATAGGGAACGAAGTAGGTATGTGATGAGGTGGGTTTGGCAGCACCGCACAGGATGTGCAACGTGCATGAACATCAAGATGCTCGGTCCGAGGCAACGCCGAGACCATTACGTCAACCGTGGGCGCATTTTGTATCTCCTCTCCCCAAACCAACAGCGCCTATTGCATACATTCAAGAAGACCACATGCAACTTATCCTCCGTGGTTGCAAAAGTGTGAACGTGATGTAGTCTGGCGAGATTGGCGGAGAGGTGTGTGAATGATATCGTAGGAGGCTTGTTTCCTGACACATAGACTCTGGTGGTGTGGCTTTGCGCTCTGTGCGTAGTAGGGCAGTGGCTAGATTGCCTCCTTCTCAAAAGTTGACAGTGCACAGTGCTGGATACCTCTTTTGGAGGATGACGTTCAGGCAAAGTGGTAATGAGTATGTCGTATTCGGCGTCGTGTGTGGGCGAAGCGAGTGTGGGCGACGACAGTGTAGTGGTGAAGGCACATGGTTCAGTTAGTGAGTACAAATACCGTGCGTGTAAGGAGGCATCACTAATGCGGGTGCAGGTATCTCCCCCTCATCGACTACACTTGCGTCGGCCGGCATTTCAGTAGGGGCTATCGAGGCTTCTCTCCCCACAAGGATCGTCCCTTGCATCAAATGAAAACGTTGCCTGGATTCTGTTATATCCCATATCGTTAGCTCGTGGCCGCTCTGAACGAGCGAAGCCATCATGGAGCCGGACATGGGGAAAAGAGGTACATGGGTCGTGTAGTGATATTATTGGGATAACGTGCTCGTCTGAGGGAATAGTCTTCAATGCACAGTCGACTGCATACATGACCGCGGCAAGCCATTGGTAGTGGTGAACGATAAGCAACCGCTAGTTGTGTTGAGCGTGTCGTTTTTGGCAGGTGGTGTTGTAGGTGACAGTGATGCAGGTCGAGGAGCCAACGAATCGTATGGCGTCGGTCGGTGTCGCAACTGATTGGGTCCCCAGTGATTGCGAAGGCCCTCCCCGGGGAACTGCTGCTGGCAGGTAATGTGTTCTGCTATGGTGAAGGTAATTATGGCGGGAGGTTGGCAGGAGGTGATGACATGGTGGTGATGGTATGGAGTAGTCGGAGGATATGGCTCAATGATGGTACCTTTTCCGACACCTCTTCAGCACTCTATGCGCCTTGACAGCAGGTTCCCCCTGGTGGAGCGAGACACGTCATGTCCTAGAACTTGAAGAGTATCATGTCTGGGGGGAACGTCCGTGAATGAAGAGCAGAGTGGCTCTCGGAAGTATGTCAGGGCAGCAGACAGCTCCAGGAGATCTATAGCGCCAAAATCGCCGGCGGCTCATTGAATGTGGATGAGACGTGTTAAGAAGTAGTTCGTTTGGTCGTACTCGTGGATCAACTCCAGCATGGCGACATCAACATGAGG